ATATATATATATATATGACGTGAAAAAAAAATTTACCACTGAAAAATTTGAAATTATGTCACTGATTAGCGGTCAGGCAGTTTCGAGATATTTCGATATAAAACAACTTCACGTTTCTTTCATCTTTAGTAAAGAGGATGTGGCGCTGGCGTCCAAGCCGAAGGCGAGGACTGGCCCTGAAATATACTATTATCGCCTGATGACATCATATACTATTGTGTTACCAGTCCATAAAGGTTCACTTTTTCCCACGTACGGGTAACACATCCTATTTTTTATGATATTTGCCGAGTTCACTGTTCGAAACGGTCGTGGGAGTAAAGTGGTCGTTTTCCCAGGAGTGGCGTGCCCTATTTTTCATCACAATGTGTAAAATTTTACTTTACGCACAAGTGATGAAATCGTATATTACGGTACTAGTGCGTAAAGTTCCACTTTTTCATACGCACGTGTAACACATCCTATTTTTCATGATACCTGCCGAAATCACAGTTCGGGGCGGTAGTGGGGATGATGTAGTTGATTTTCTGCACGAGTGCGTAAAGTGAATTTCGAGTGTGTAAAGCAAACCTTTTTCAAATTTTTCAATTTGATGAACGAAATAAAATATTACTCTTAGATTTCTTGAATGAGAAGGTTTATTGATATTGTCGATTGTTGGGTAATTACCTCGAACTTACTTCGAAGTTTTCTACAGTTTCTCAACGAGAAAATTGTAGAAAACCTGTCGGTAGCTAAGGAAATTTTCAACAATGTCACTTGACATTGAATCATGAAATAACGCACTTGAATTCCTTAATTCTTATTGTTGTCAATTATTTTTTCCAGTGTTACTGCCACTTTGGCAAGCATTGGAGCAGCAAGTATCCCAAGTGCAGCATTAGTGACGATGCTGTTAGTATTAACTGCCCTTGGTCTTCCCACGAATGATATTTCATTACTGTTCGCTGTTGATTGGTTATTGTAAGGAATTTTATTTGAGAGAAAAAAAAAACAAGTTGTACAATATTTCATACAGTTGTACTATTGTTTTAGGGATCGTTTAAGGACGTCTATCAATGTCCTTGGAGATGGATTCGGAGCAGGTATAGTCTACCACCTCAGTAAACACGAGCTCGAAAAAATGGACGAAGATCGAAAATTAGAATGCCTAGAATCTGTCATCTACGTCGAAGATAATTTACCGCAGAGTAATAATGAGAATGAAGATACGTGTGATGTTAAAACGTCGGAGAGCAGCGTTTAACTACCCTAGAGTACTTCTTCCTCACGTTTCATTATATATTTTTCATGCATTTCAAGAATAAATGTCAGAAACTGCCAGACGATAATACTATCAGTAAAAGTAGAGGATTTTTTTCGGCACCGACCCTTAGATATGTTCGAAATAATTTTTTTTTAATTTCGCGAAAACTCAGCTCTCTGACTCAATTCTACAGCCCCCCCCCCTCCGAGTCTTCTTTTTTCCAAATTAAATAATACCTATTTATGCTAAAATTATGATTCTATTTTTTTTCTCTCACTAATATATCTTTGAAAATTATGTAAAAACGAAAAAGTCTTGTGGCAATACGGTACTGTTTCGGACTTTTTTTTTCCTTTATCAGTGTAGTAATTGTTATATGGACATTGATGTTTCTATTATTCACTGCACTAAGATACCGGATATACGTGAATAAAAAAAGTTCGCAATAAAAAAAAATATTACATTTCCTTGAGATATTTCATTTTTATTAAATTTTTCGAAATATGTCAGTAAGAAAAAAAATACAATGCTTCCATTCGGAAGCAATTATCATTTCAGGAAAAACCTGTGTTATTCACATGGGAAAAATGAAAACTCTTGGGGGCGCTTTTTTGGCTTTTTCTAGATTTTTTTCTACAGTTTAATCTTCTCTCTAATCTCGGAAAATTTATTTTCTCATAAGACTGTTATTTTGTTACTTCTAAATTAGTTATCATCAATAATACTAGACTGCCAATTGAATGCGAACTCAACCAGAATGTTTTTATTCATATCAACTTCCGTTTAGAATTTCTTTCAGATATTCATCTTCAAAATTTTAGTTGTGTTTACACTGACATGAACAAAGGTTTTTGAGAATTACGTCTTTACTTATATCAAGAAACTTCTGACTTGAAAATTTTCAAGAATAAAATATCTCGCACTGAGAAAATAAGAACTTTCGTCATTTAATTTTGTACTTGTCCTAAAGAAGAGGGCAATTTCTTCATGACAAGAATGCGATTCCTCAAACCAAGCAAAATTGAATTAATTCATTTAATAGTTTTTTGGCCTCAATTCTAAAATACTTTAATGCAAAAACCACTTTAATTGATTTGAGAATTCGTTTTCTTGCTATGAAGAAATTGCCCTCATCTTTCGGACAAGTATAAAATTTCTTGGCGTAAGATGTTTTTTTCTTTATGTGAGATATGGTGCGCTTGGTAATTTTCAAGCCACGAATTTCTTGATACAAGTAAAGAAGTACTTCTTAAAAAACTCTTGTTTTCTCAGCGTATAGTACTTTAAAATCAAGTTACAGCGTTGGGTCTGCGCGGATTTTTGTTATACACGTCGAACATATCCAAGGGGCAGCGATTAACAAAAAAATCCCTAACTGGCACCCTAATTAGTAAATATACCTAAAAGGATTGATTAACAGGAGCATTTCGAGTACAAACCAGTAAAATAAAAATGTACAGTTTCATTGAATCAATATACTCAACTTAATTATTTGACGAATTATAAATAGATTTGATTTATTGAATCTTCATTCACACTTAATTGAATATCAATTATTGGAACTAAGAATGTGAAGAGAATAATAAAGATGACTCACAAGTGATAGTGATTGGTGGAAAATAAACGATTGGGTATCAACAAGTATGAATCGTTTTGATTCTTCAAAATGCACTTTGGAATTGCCATTGATAATTCTCCCTATGATGCTGGATGCTTAATAGACGTGTACCATTCCATATAAAAATGTCCAGAAGAGTACGTATGTCTATGAGACAAAAATAATAACATTACATTAAGGAAAATACCATGACAAAGATTGATTATTGACCGATATTTTTTTCTGGAAATTAGATAATATTCATGAAGTGACAAAGTAAGTTTGAGAGAAGGGAAAGATGTTATTGCTTTCCTTCCAACTCATTGCGATTGAGAGGAAGTGACGGTTATATTTTGGAAATATCTGAAGGTTCTCCCCTGCATAAAATGTGTATTCATTCAACATGAAAGTCTCTCATCCATGATTCACTGAATCGAGGCTTTTAGTATTTTTAGTAATTTTCTCATACTTTGACACGAAATAAACGATTTCTTGAGGCCAGAAATTGTCACTTTATCATCCCCAAGTGTTCGTGTTCAAGTCATGAACATTTCACGGGATTCTTACACGGTCTAACTCATTATGCGGAATTGTTATCCCAAGAATTTTATCCTTAAGAGATGAGACATTTGACGCAAGAAATTAGTTTTGTGATATTATGTCGATATTTGTCTCAGATGGTGCCATTTCGTCAGCAATAATTAACGATTCAGGAAAGTTCATATACCCCAAACCTCCCCTGTAGATTAATATTAATTCTTAAAAGGATACGAAAAGGCCTCCAAAAAATCCATTCGTCAACAGGCTGTGTCTACTAATGAAATATTTCTTCCACTGTCCTCCAGCTTTGAACAATAATAAAGCCTGTAAAAAAAGTCAAGATAGAATTAAAAATGAATGACAGAATCAGCGATCCCACGGATTCACCCGATGTTCTCCATATTTACCCATAAACCAAAGACCGCAAAAATGTAGAAACCGAATCCATAGAGTCCCGTGAGCCCCAGTAATCCAGCAGTTCCCCCTGACATCGCAGCCATGGATATCCTGCAGTACTCGACAACAGCTGCGTTGTTCCTCACAGCCCCCTCGCTGTACGCAATTATTTCTGACCCAAAAACATGATAAATACATAATTAATTACCTGCACCATAACCTGCATTCATCCACGACTCAATGCACTCCAAAACAGAACTGAATTGAGAACAGAAATCTCTCAAAACGTACCACCACTCTTGTCCTGCTTCGTTCGTGTTTTCGTGGACATTTTATTTCACTTATTCTCGTTTATCGTAATTCAATATAAAAACTATTGCACTTGGAACAACAAACAGCCCTGCACAGACCTTTAAATGACTAGACTGCGCCGTGCGCCGTCCCACCTTTGCGACAGCTGATCTGAGTGGGAATTACGTAGAGTGGAGGTGGTGGGGGTACCCTCGGAACGAACAAACTTCTAAATACTTGGATAGCCTATAGTAATATGGGGAGGGCAACTAACGCTTCGTTTTCATCGCAGAATCATAAACCCGCGGTATCGTTTCCATCGAGCAAGTCAAACTAGTCTTGACTCACTGTCAGTTCGACTCAAATCCCGGCGTAAATAGGGACCAATGTAATTAACCTGTGACGTGTTTACGTTCTACAAGTGATCAGGAACAGAAGGTCAAGGACTTGGGAATATCAAGGTTGATTAATTCCGTCAATTAGTAAACACAATGGGGAATGTCTTGGAAGCGTGCACGTCATGCTGTAAGGATCAGTCGACTTACGAGGACCTCACACCTGATCCGGTAAGAACTAATAATTCATTTATTCTTCTGCGTAATATACGTGTTTGCATTGAATTTTCATTGTGTATCGATGATAAGAGCTCTATTCGGATCCACTTTCAACGATGGAGAATAAAGTTTGATGCTTTGTTTTTGCTGGAAATGCAATTATCGATTTTTGTTTAATCAATATTTCAGTTTGACAGGTAAATTACTCCAGGTTTTTTTAAACCTTTTAAGGCCCGGTCGTACTATCTTTCGAATGTTATCTGGATTTTTTTTATCTTTCGTAATCCAAAATTGTCAATTGAGTGGTACATCATGTAGAAATTCCCAAAAATTATGATAGAATGGTAAAAAGAAATATAAAAATTCTGAACTTCTTCAAAGAGCGTTTTTAATTGAGATTCAGAATGAGTTGAAAAAAGTGGAAATTACAAATATCTGATTCGCTGTGGAAAATTATTATCTATTAGCTGTCATTTTCCATGGTGGAGAACAAAACACTAACTTCTTCGTGGGAAGTGACAGCTAGGTATCTCAATTTTCAAAACAGTGATATGTAGTCATCTGCCATTTTTATGTGATAAAAGTGTGATTAAAAAATTCCCCAAAATATTGACAAGATTTACGACATCAATCTTCCCCCTGCATGATATTGGGTGACAGGCCGCCATTTGTCACCGTAAATCAGATACTTTTTTCAGTTTCTTGTTATTCGACTTATTCTGAATATAAATTAAAAATTCTCTTTGAAAAAATTAAGAATTTTTTCTACTGTTTTTTGATTATTCATTCATAATTTATCAAAACTTCAGCGTGATACAGAACTTAATTGACAATTTCAGATGACGAAAGATGAAAAAAAACATCGAGATAACGTTCGAAAGATAGTACACCCGGGCCTTAATTTGAAAGATTAATCATTTTTGGGGGATACGCACTTCACTGGGGAAAATCGATAAGAAAAATATAACGTTAGGAGAATAAATCACTGAGGAATGTTCAATGTTATTTTTAGGAAACAAGGAGACAGCAACAAGTTGCAGCCGCTGAGAAACGAGCTCAGGAGCAGGAAAGACGGGGAATTGGTGATATACATGCTGTCAAGCGTCAGCAACATCAAACTGAAAAACGAGAGAAACTCGAAACCGAGATATCGAATGTGGATACAGAAACTGGATTGAAGGTACGTTGACTATTCCATGAGCATGGAACCAGCACGTGAAATATCCTAAACACGAAATGTTCATTTCTGGTCGTGTTTGGATGATTTTTAATCATTTACGAGTATTTATAAATTTTTGGCAGTTGGGGCAAAATGGAAACCTTTCACTTCTTTTTTCAATGTTTATAAGTCAGAGACAAATTTGTCAATTGAGCTCAGGATAAGCTCAGCACAAAGAGGAACATTCGTACTTTCCCTGGGGGAAAAATAATCTGATTTCGTTAAGGTAATTCCTCAGTCGAGGAATCATTTCGAGAAATATCTCCTAATCTAAGGGAGATAACAAAATTTTCGTAATTACCTTGTTTGGTGAATGACTAGATTTAGGGTGGATAGGGGATGAAAATGTGGAGGGAGATGTTGGGAAAATTATTGATGAGCCGGATTTAAAAAATCATACTTTATTTTGTGGGATCGAACCACTTTGTCAAAACTATTTACACCCCTTGGTAATTTAATTGTTGAATGTCTAATTATACTGATAATTGTCTTTCACTGTTAATTCCTTGAGTCACTGAATTTAGACTGAATTTAATCAACAGAGGTGATGTACTGAACAAAACTGTGATCTTACAAAGACCGGTGATGTACTTGCTTACTAGTGAGCTAGGTGAGGTTCAAAGAGCTACTGTACTCGGTGAGGTGCGATATAAAACTTGTACAGGTGATTTGCCCGAGATAGACTTGTACGGTGAGAGGCTAAGCCTAAACTGATTCGCGCGTGTTTCGGTGACTTATGACTGATGACCCGAAGGGTCCCGGAGATTTTCGAAGTAGGCCGATGGTCGACCAGAATGTTCTGGAATTTTAGTTGCGTTTCAAACATGCCTTTTTTGTAGCCCTCAATTCGCTCTAAAAAATTCGTCGTGACAAACATTTTGCTGTTTCCCTTAGATTTTGAGATATTCATTGAAAACTGGCCAATAGTAAAAATCGATTTAAACCGTTTTGTCACTTCACTGCTGATTTCACAGAAAAAATAAATACAATTCGGTCTTTCCTTACGACTGGTGTTTTTTATTATATTTTTCCGCTTCTATTTTTTTCAACCTCCCATTAAAAAAATCTAACAAAAAAAACTTGTGAAATTCCTGCCAACTTCTATAGGAAATTCCTCAATAGGATGCGTTATATAGAAGAACAAATTCAAAACTGCGGGAATTTTGCAATGGAGTCGACGAAAAGTTGGTACATTCTCTAGCGAACGCACTATATTTGCCCATGAAATTTTTTCACACGCAATGAAAAGGCTATTTTAGTTTTTTCGTAATGAATTCTAAATATTTTAAAAGTAAAAACTGTTCATGCTACCCCACAATCATGACCTGCCTTATCCCATAAATGATCTTTACAAACATCACCTGTTATTTGTTTCCAGTGGCAAGTGAATTGAAATATCATCATCAACCTCAAGTACATCGCTGCACGCAATGTGAAACTGGATAGGTAATGGTGTATGTATTGTGAGTACATGAGAATTCAAAAAAATAATTCAAAGTTATATGCGATGAGTCAAAACCATCAGAATTGTAGTTGCTATAAAATACTCCAGCGACGTGTGAAATTGAGGATACGTAAATGTTTCATCAGCAAACTGTTGATTCTGCTAATTCTATAAACCATTTTGTTAATCTGCATATTCTATCCGATATTGTTAAATGGACTAATTGCTGTGAGGAGTTGTGATTGAACAGAGTATCTTGAATAAGTTTATTCCTATTTACTTTTAAGAATTACTCACGATTTACTGATCATTGTGTAGCGTTTTTATAAGATAATTTACGAAGGTTCTTACACGGAGAAAAAATTTCAGGAAAAATTATGTGACAAAACGTAGAAGTGACGGGAAATGCGCTTGCGGGAATTTTTGCATAAACCACGGCGAAAAATACGAAAAGAAAACGCAATTTTTCCTCTAAATTGTGAATATTTTATGTGTTAAAAGGTAATTTTTATGTGATTTCCATACTATTTATTTCTCAACTTTTTTCTCCGTGCAAGTAATCCTTCAATATCACATTATTATCATCGAAATACGAGAATACTTACGAAATGTTTAGCAAGACATTTTTACCACCATAAAAATAATGGAGGATTAAATTATGAATTGTATTGTGCCTACATCACTTGTTTTATTATACAGATTGCACCCCAAATATTTGTATTGGTTAGAGTCAGACATCAACGCCGTCGTTGTATTCAATTTAATCTAATTCAAGTGTTATTTTAGTTATTTTTTGCTTAAAAAGAGTGGGTAAATAATACGTCAAATTAATATATTGTTTAATGCATTTTAATTATTTATTGAATGGTTGTAATGCAGACAGTACGAGCCTTTCAGGCGCATATAAATCTATCGATGATAATTACGAAATATTAATATATTCCAATCGTAATTTGTAATTTTTATTTGATACTGTTAAGGCAGTAGATCAAATACACCTTACACGAATGATAAAAGGAAATATATACAATTAATGACAAATAGTTGATGATTCGTGTATGAACGAATATTTAATCGTCTCTTCCTAGTTCATAATTTAAAGTCAATCATCGCATAGCGATAATAGGAATGAACACAACTACCGGAATTAATGAAACAACTCCCCACAACCAAACTAATATCCCGAATGTCTCGTATGATTTTTTTTCCCGAAAAATAAAACTCGAGTGAATTAAAGACTCGAGTAAAATCGTACGGAGATTCAAATTACCAACCTAAACTGATGCAGACAATAAAAATAAACGACATGCTGGTTGTATAGTGTCTCATTAAATCTTGAGACTCCTCGCTGATAAGTTGAATTCCTCAATTGGCAAATTCGACCTGCTTTCCCAGGCATGTCGTCTCTCGTTATTTTCGTCCTCAACTTGAGAACACATTGGTAGTCGGCTTGCCCGCTCACATCGTCTGGATACTGACCAGTAGACAAAGTCTTTTGGACATTTGTATAGGTATCCCTCGAGAGAATTCCTGGAATTTCTCTTACACTTGTAGAATGCATTGCTACAGCCCTCCCGGTATGGATAATGGCCTTCGTCGGGACAGAGGGTACTTCTCGTTACTCGTATCTAAAAACGCGAATAAAGATGTGTTTGTAAACAACACGTGGAATTGAAATAAAATATCGACTTTGCTTTACTTTTATTAAAACATTGAATAATTTATCAATTTTTGGGAATCGAAATTTTTCATGTTCTACCAAAATTCTGTCACTTTTTTGACGAATGTGAAAATATATGAAACTCACATTTCTGATAATTAAGAAAAATAAGTTGCAAGAGCTTTGACAAAATGAAACAAAATGAGACAAAATTGACAATTCTACAATTAATTTTCAACCGTACTGAAATCTTCTTTCTCCTTAACTCCTCCCAGCCAAAAACATTTTATGAACGTTTAGAAATTTTTATTCTGTTAATTTTTTTATTTCCCATTTATTTATTTATTTATACGAAAGATGTCGAAACGCTCCAAAGAAAAACGTGGAGAAATGTCGTAACTCCATACGAAATGTTTCTATACATGTGGCAGTGGGTCGTATAGGATCAAACCTATAGAAATCGTATGGAAATAATTCGTATAAAAAAAATCCGTATAGAAATATCCGAATATCATATACGAAAATCCTATAGAATTTCTATAGGCAATCCGTGTAGAAAATTTCTATACGATTTTTTCATACGTGACGCGGTAAAAAAGGTCTAAAACCCTCTTAGTAAATTGTTTTTTTTCATGTAGAAAACTTGGTAAATTACCGGTGGTATACTTGCCCAACCCTGATTTCAACATAAAAAAATTGGACCGCCGCAAGGCGGGCCATCAAACGCGCTAGTAATTCAAAGTTCACCGACGCCGGTGGCCGAGTGGGCTAGACGCAACTCTAGTGTGCGAAAGGTTGTGAGTTCGATTCCCCGTGAAACCGAATTTTTCAACAGAAGGTTCCGGTGAGCGGGAGGTTGCTAATAGAGTAACCGCCTGTACCGGCATGGATTTCTTGTGGTTTCCCATGCTACTCCTATGTTCTATACGAGTGCGAATGCGGTACAGTGTAGAATCCACAGCCGCATACACAGGGTTGGATAGAATGCCGAAATGAGACTCGAAAAGAGGAGTCAAAAGGCAGTAAAAAAAAATTAAATCAAATAAAATAGTTCATGTGACGTTTTGAGTTAGATCACCCAGGATTAATGCGGTGGGTGATCTAACATGTGACTAGTCCCTGGGACTAGTCACAAATAGAAATAAGCTTTCCTTTCCTAGGGCCGTCGTACCCTATGTTGACCGGCTAACTGTCGCGTGGGATTCACTCAAGTTGGGAATGATAAGGGAATTGGAAGGTATTGTACCGAAGATAAATACACGATTAACTGGTAAAAGTATGGTACATTTAACTCAACTACTAACTACGATACACGAGAGTGTTATTGATGGGTTCGGTAAACGCGTTTTTAATATTTGAAGGAGCTGGGATGACCGTCCAGCTTCACTCCTGATCGTACTCTGCCCTTGCAGAGTCTTTGTAAAATGCTCAAGACCTAAAATTGCAGAGCAAGCAGTCTCACGGTCCCGAAAGACTAAGACAATTAAGTGTCATCATTAACACACAACTAGAACAGTCAGATAGTTTCGTTACCGAGAAAGAAATCATATTTCTTTTCTCATCGTCCCACATTATAAATTTAATGTAACGTATTATTCAGAATACGTCACATTGTATCCAACAAATAACCGACGTATTAATGACAATACGTCACATTCAAAATTTAAAAACTCACAGGTGAGATGGGCGTATCCTCCAATTGTCTATAAAATCTAGAAGAAGTTGTAGGGCTCATACACTGCTGATCGGTCTCTCCTTCAGCAAGACATTGCACCTTCTTATCATCAAAGATGGTGCCCTCCGGGCACACCATCACCAATATCTTGATTTCCATATTCCCCTGACTCGTACACTGATAGAACATATTACAAAACTTGGGATGTCTCCTGAACCCAGTAGGACAGACTAGAACAATCTGCTCGTCGGTTAAATTACCAACGGCACATGGTGCGGCCATTGCCCCCGGTGGGACAGCTGGAGTGCTGTCAGTGGTCTCCGGCCCCTCGGTTCCTCCCGTTTCCTCAGTGCCACCCGTCCCCTCAGTAGTTGGCGTCTCGTCAGTGCCTGTCGTCGTTTCTTCACCTCCCGGGGGGGTCGTCTCACCCTCTCCACCTGCAGTCGTCGATTCAGCCCCTGTCGACCCCTCAGTAGTGCCTTCAGTACCTTCAGGGCTAGTTGATTGATCTCCAGAAGTCGTTGATGATTCTGTGGAAGCACCAGGTTCAGTTGTTTCTGAACTCTCAGTTGACGAAGAACTTGACTCTGTACTCGATGATTCCGTCGTGGGGCTGCCACCAGCTTCACATGACTCCACTTGTGCCTCATAGTTGCAAGTCTGGAGGTTCTGATCCCAAGCGGTACCTGGACCGCAATCGAATTCGTATTTTATGAATCCATTATTCACTTTTACACATCGAATGAACTTGTGGCAGTCTGAGGGGTTGGGGAAGAATCCCTCGTCCGTGCATTTGAATTTACTTGAAGAAGGCTGAGAGCTTGATGTTGCTCCGCCAGGAGAGGATGAAGAAGGTTCGGATCCAGGTGTCGTCGAGGGGACTGATGTTGTGGTGCTGGTATCTTCAGGCTCCTCCGTTGACGAGTCCGTTGATCCTGGCGGAGTCGTTGCTTCAGAACTTATATCTGGGGTGCTCTGTGTCATGTCCAGTGGTGTAGACCCTTCAGTTTCTGTGGAGGGCTGAGTCGTGGCCTCTGAAGATTCTGTGATTGCTGCCGGCGTCGAAGTCTCTTCAGTCTCGGAAGACGAGGAGGTTGTAGCTTCTGAAGACTCAGTGGTCGCTGCCGACGTAGGAGTTTCCTCTGTTTCTGAAGATGAGGGGGTCGTGCCTTCTGAAGAATCAGTAGTTGCTGCCGGAGTAGAGGACTCTTCAGTTCCAGCAGAAGAGGGGGTTGTGCCTTCTGACGATCCTGACGGTTTCGCGGACGATTCAATCTCGTTCATCGACTCATCGGGGCCCTCACTACTCGGTTTACTTCCACCTGACCCCTCGCAGCTCTCGACTTGGTCTTCATAATTACACGTTTGGAGATTCTGGTCCCAAGCGGTACCAGGACCGCAGTTGAACTTGAATTTAGTGAATGATTTGGAAGAATGGTCGAAGGAAACGCATCGGTAAAACTTGTGGCAATCATTGGGGTCAGCGAAGAATCCTTCAGCCCCGCAGGATCCTGAAGGTTTCGAAGGGGTAGAGCCCCCAGATCCTTCATCTGGTTTCGAAGTCGTAGATGAGCCGTCCGGAGATGATGCAGTCGTCGGCGAAGACGAGGTACCTGAGGAGGGGACAGTACTCGCGGAAGAAGTACCTTCCGATGGGCTTTCCGAAGCCGTCGAACTCTCCGAAGACGTCGAACTTCCCGAAGATGTAGATCCCTCAGAAGTTGTATCCGGCTCTCTCGCTCCCTCAGTCGTACCCTCCCCAGATGTTTCTGTGCTAGGATTTGAACTTGACTGACTACTAACAGTCGTACCACTTGACTCTGCTGTCGTACCCCCCGACGAAGTCCCGTCAACCGGCGCGGAGGTGGGCTGCTGATTACCATCAGGTTCAGAAGTCACCTCGTTCGATGAACTCGACGGTGTGCCCTCGGTCTCAGTGCCACCCGGTCTCTCACTTCCGGCACTCGAGCCGCATCCAGGCACTGCGTAGTCGTGATTGCAGGTCAAGAGGGCTTGATCCCAAGCTGTGCCCTCGCCGCAAGTGAATTCGTACTTCTGGTATGAACCCTCGCCCTCCACGCACCTGTAGAACTTTTTGCAGTCGCTGGGATCGGGGAAGAATCCCTCCTCCGTGCAAGACCCCGAGGCATCTGGTTTCGGTCTCCCCAGGCCCGACGCGCCAGTCGCTTCTCCAGGGTTTTGAGGGGGCGGAGGGTAGAGTCCACCAGGAGGTCTTGAGGAGCCCTCTTCAGGGGATTCTGTGGTGCCGGGTAATTCGGAAGATTCGGAAGTGGAAGGCTTGTCAGGTTGAGTGGGAGGAACTCCTGGGTACGGAGGGGGGTAGAATGATCCGGGAGAGCTGTCTCCTTGCTGACTGGGTCTCTCGTCCGGCCGCGACGATGGATAGCCTGTCGAAGGAGGAGGAGGAGGATAGAGTGCACTGGGTCCCTGGGGCCTTTGCGGTCCAAAGTCGGACGGACGAGGAGAACTCGCCGTCTCCGGTGGATTTTGCGGATACCCCGAAGGAGGAGGAGGATGGGGTGCACTAGGTCCCTGGGGTCTCTGCGGTCCCGAGTCGGACGGATAAGGAGAACCCGCCGTCTCAGATGGATTTTGTGGATACCCCTGATTAGGATACTGCGGATATCCCGAAAGCGGTCCTCCAGGCGCAGTCGAGACCTCAGTCCCCTGTGGATAGCCCCCCGGTGGACGCGGCACCTCATTAGACTCTGACTCCTCCGTATATCCAGGCTCACCCGACGACCCAGGATAGCCACTCTGCTCATTAGAGCCCTCATTGCCACCTCCCACGTTAGAACCTCCGTTAGACATTTCACCGCAATTACTTTTCGACACCGCCCACGCGTGATTACACGCCTCTATCGACGGATCCCACACCGTACCTTCGCCACAAGTAAATTCATACCTCTGATAACCACCAGCCCCATTACTAACACATCTAATGAATTTACGACAATCTCTTTCATCTGGTTTAAAACCCTCCTGTTGACACTGGCTTCCCCCATTATCCTGACCATGGACACTTCCTGGATAATTATTGGACGTTGGCCGTGGATTCATTGTTGATTCAAACGCTCCGCTTGTCGTCGACGACAATTCACTTGATGGAGTGCCGGGTAATGGTGATCCATAGCTCGGATAATCTGGATACGCCGCAGGTGGCCCTGTTTGCTCATTCGACGAGGGTTTGTGGCTCACAGAGTCGAGATCGTTCGCCGATTCGCTGCACTCACTTCTCTCACTCTCGCGCGGATGAACACATATGTCGCCCTTGGCGTGGGAGAAGACAGTGCCAGGGCCACACTCGAATTTAAATTTAGTGAGGGGAGTTCCGTTTCCCCAATTGACACATCTGTAGTAAATACTGCAGCTCCTTGGGTCCTGTTGGTAGCCCTCCTCGTTACACTCAAACCCATTCTGTTGATTTTGCTGGGCTGATGCTGTATTACCTGAGAAAAACATGATAATTTGTCTCTTTTTTATGGCTTGATAATCGATTTCATGCTGTATTAAAAGGGGGCATTAAATCCTGATTAATGGAGCGATTTCCTTCCAAGACGTCATTAAGACATGAATTTAATTGGAGGGGAAACAAGTTATCTACAATCTAATTCCACCGTGATAGAATATCGTAAACAAATGTATACCAGAAATAAACCGTGGCAGATAAGAAATTACAAGAAATTATGATACCAAGAGGCGTTATACGGAGTGCAAGTCTTTGGGG